TTTTTTTGATGTGACACTTCAAAAGTGTGTTGCTAAAATAAAAGGCAGAGCGGCTGTCAGACAGGGATTATTGTTGGCTGATATACAGTCTCCACAGCGCCGCTTGTCCTCTTTTGTCACCGTATTTGTGCAGCGTAATGGCACAGAGTAAGAGTGTGTCAAAGCTGCTGTTTAAATATTTATAAAAACAGTTGACAGAACAATGTCAGGGCAGCAGCAGGTGACTGATGAAGGGACAAGACCGGGCAAGTCACACAATGCAGCCTCAGAAAGCAAGCTGAACTCGACACTGTTGGACAGGAGGAGCACTGAAAGGTGGAAGGGAAGAAAAAAATGCAAAGAGCAGGGGATGCAGGGCTTAGAGGCTTTTAGCAGGACAGGAAATAAAGCTTTAACACACTTTCTCTCTTCACACTGGTAAAAGTCACAATGAAACCTGTTAATGTAACACTCTGATTGTGTTAAAAATCAGGGTTTCAGCTATTAGTCAATGCTGTGCCATTAAAGCATTTCATTAAGGGACGCTTGAGCCATCCAAAGTCATTCCTGCCACAAGAGTCCAATCAAATAAAAGTTTTCCTGGCATCCACTACAACACCACGCATCCTGATTCATATGTTGTCTATGAAGCGTGCACGTGTACTTGGATGCATGCAGGCAAACTAAGTGAGTAACATGCTCCATGACGCACGTCACCAATAAGACCGTGTGACGTAGACGCACAGGTAACAATAAGGCGGGAGTGCCCGAGCATGTGCGTGAGTGTACATGTCAGGCGTGACTTCCTTCTTTTCTTCGTGGCCTTGCGTCATGGTTTAAGGTGATCAGCTTAACATTTCAGGATCATGTGAGTGTAGGAAAACAAGGAAACGTCAACACAGGAGACACTGTACCTGTCCTCTGTTTGGTTTTCCACGTTTACAAAGATGGAGGAGGTGGAGATAGTTCCCATGGAGGAGCCCTCGTAGAAGGATGGGTTGGCTGGGACAATGTCGGGGCGCAGATATGAACCGAACACGGCTGAGGAGGAAAATAGAAAACTAAATTTTAAACATGTGACGGTTTCCTATCTCAGGTGGGCTCAGTTTTAACTTACATGGTGCCAATAAATACAAACAGTCATCTAAAGATGCTTCATAGTGACGGGAAAGGCCCCACAAAATCACAGAGAAAAACCTAACGATTCAGCAATCTAACTATGAGCAAACACTTGGTGACAGGAAGAGCGAGGGCGAGGGCGGCCATCTGCCACAACAGCCTGATGTTAGAGCGCACCATAAAACAGTAAAACAATAAACACTCCTGTGCCTTCAGACTTTCAAACTCCACAATCCAGGTAAGCGCATTTTGACCTCTACGGTTGGGCGATCCCACACATTTTACAACTTTAGGCTGAGTACTTCGGCTCCAGATAAGTGTGGGAACACCAAACGCTGTAAAATCAGAGTTCCCCCTTAAAAGGAAGCATTTCCTGGAAGCTGAGCTGAATAAAATCTAAAGCTGACACTGGATGTATCCTAGGAAAAGCGAGTATGTTTTTCTTGTAATTCTGCCGTGTCTTTGCAGACTTCAAAACCTAATCATCGACACAAGGCAGCGAATGAGAGTTTAATGCAACTGATTAGATTAGGGTGTCAACATAAGGCCCGGGGGCCAGAATTGAAAAGGCGAAGACTCTGATCCAGCCCACGAGACATCTTTGGAGATTGTGAAGCAGAGCATAAATTTTGGACTTTTACCTGTATTTTCATACATTTTACAGATGTCCTACTGATAAAGATCCCCTCCCACAGCCATTCATATGACACCAAAGTAATGAAGTAATAGATAAATGACTGAATGACATTCAAGTTCCTATAGACATTTCTGTGAATTAAACATTACAGGGCAGTCTGGGGAAATGAGCTACTACAATTCTGTACTCTTACACATTTTGTTTTTACCATTAAAGGCCAAAGAGTCGTAGTGACAGATTTCTTTCATTAACTACAGCCGAATTTCTTTATCATGAAAAAAAAAAAAACCAAAAACGGAGACATACTGTTAAACACACACTTTTTTTCTCATATTGAGATGGAAATGGATTAAATATGTAGATAAAATTCTTTACACTGACAGAAATGGGATTTTCGCTGGTCCAGCCCACTTCAGATCAAAGCAGCAGCATGTGCGACACACTTTGTTTGGATGCTTCCGGTTAAACTGACATACGAGCCACTCCCTTTAGAGTGAAAACCGATTTCCTGCCCTTCCCGAGACCCCTTCAGTGACCATAAGAGCGAAGGGAAGTTTAACAACCCAAACGGA